TGTCTTTTCCTTATTTTTTCTCTTCTTCTTTTAATTATACAGTTGTTTACACATACAGTTTTTCTTTGTTAAGTACTTCCTGTTTACATGCATGTCTCTGCTCTGCAGCCACATCAACTGACCGCTTCTATCGTATCGACAAGGCTCAGGTAAAAACAGATTCAAAATGCTATGATTGATGACCAATGTTTCATCTGCTCATATGTGTTCACAATGCTCTGTGTTTGATGCATGTGTGTTTGCAGGAGCACCTCCACTTTGTGACGGAGATCTGTCAGGACGAGGTGTTCATCCTGGACCACGAGGGCCCGTTGGGGGGGCCGGGGTCGTCCACGGGGATGCCTGATCTGGTGGTGGAGCCCTCTTCTGGGTACGTCAGCACACAAACAGAAGATACTGTATATATTAAAGATTATATCATTTATCAACATTTTGTAAAAACAGCCACTTGCTGCACTTGTCATGTTTTCTACATAAGTGAACCCCAATTGAATTCCTTCTGTCATTTGTTTTTCTAGTGTTTCCTTGACATCAGATGAACAAGGTAAAACACACACACAAACACACACACACACACACACACACACACACACACACACACACACACACACACACACACACACACACACACATTAAAATGAATAAAACATAGTTTGCGCCAGTCAAAACTAAAAGTGAAACCTGTAATAGTTTGATTTTTCATATTGTTGTGGTACTTTAAGACAGGAATATGCCTTATTTTAGCTTCCTATAAACCACTTCTGTGTAATTGTATCTATAAGTAATGTCCAAAGGATATCTACAGATGCCTGAATAACTTTTCAGGAAAAACTGCTATCAGCCCCTTATTCCTCATTTTCAGGCTTGTTATGACTATAACAATAAAACTCCTTGGGGATTTGTTCTGGAGAAGTTGGGATATATTTATGGTGTCATGTGAGAAATAAGTTATTTGTATTCCTGGGACTCTCCAGTCTGTTGAACCCTTTGTCTGAACATGTTTCATGTGTATCCACTTTCAGTTTTGCTTGCCCTTCAATTCCCCACTCATAGATTAAACAAATATTGACTTGTTTTTCAAGTTTGTTTGTTGTTGTGTTGTGTCTTCATATCGTTTCCAGAGACATGTTAAAGATTGACAGAAACAAAATGTTCTCATAAAATTGCATACGGGACGTTGAAACCTCAAAATCACTGTTGTTGTGGCACATTGTTTTTAGTTGAATGTGATCAAACGAAGAATCACTTATAAATCCTGGTGTATAAAACGAGTCAAAATTAAGGCAGGCATTCGGGTTCATTTGTCGTTAAGTATTTTTTTAACTGTGGTTTTTAGAGCGGTTTGATGGCTCCAGAGATAACATATTTTGCTACATGGAAATATGTTTGACTGTCACCTGTCTGGTCAATTCCCTGACAGGCTTAGCATTTGTAAGGAAGTGAAACTGAAAGTTCAAAGTCAAGAGTTCAAGAGTCCCAACAGAGAGGATAACATAATCATTATTTTATCCGTTCTCTTCCTTTTTCTTAAGGTTTGTAAAAAGAGTCAGACAGTTTTTCAACATACAGGCAGATATGTTTATCAAAAGTGGAATATGTTTGCAGATCAACAAGTATTTCCATGGAAATCGACTTATTATGCAGTGTCATGATGATGATGATTTCTGTCTTTCTGTTTGTTTACAGCCCTGCTCACAGCTGCCAGTACAGGAGATCTTTCTATGGTAATCCCTCAGACACACACACACACACACACACACACACACACACACACACACACACACACACACACACACACACACACACACACACACACACACACACCCCGCTGATATAGATACCAGTTTAACCTGTTGTCATCCGCTGCATTTAACTGACATTGAACACTCAGACAAACATCCTTTGTTAAACCACTTCCTTAAATCACTGAACAGTGCATTGCCCAAAGCAATTTTTAAGAACCAGTGCAGGAAGCAGGCTCAAGGAAACACAGGATATCCTTTGAATTTACATGGTTTATTAAAGGTGGGGTAAGTAAGTTTAAGAAACCGGCTCGAGATACACTTGTTGTTATATTCCATGGAATGCTATTAACATCCCGATAGCAATGAATATCTGAAGTGCTTTGACAAAAAATCCATAAAAAAGATTCATCTGTGGAAGCCGTAGCGCTGTAAAAAGCACGACCAATCATCTGAGCCGGGCCGGCTAAAATAACTGGATGGCCTACCTGCCTGTCAGCCTTCCATCCGTGCACAAACTTATCTCGTGCCCTCATTGGTCATGTGCGCGTTCGTGTGTGTTGGAGGAGGGGCTCTGTAAGGAAGTGGCAGATTTTTTCCGCCTGTGTATTTTCAAATTCTAGCGCACTCGAGCTGGTTTCTCCAAAATTACCCATCCCACCTTTAACTCTTTGTAAACCATGCTATATATTACGAAAATACATAAATGCCAACATTTTTTAAATAAGCTCAAAATGAGCTAATAGCTAAATCTGGCATAAATCCTCTCTTCTCTTTTTCAGATGAATGTTTCATATGATCCTTGTTAATAAGTGGAGTAATAGTGAGCACTCTGTATTTCCCTTGTCTTCTAAAACCCTAACCTGTTTCCTGTGTGTGTGTCTCCAGCTGACGGAGTGTGTGCGTCGGGGCGTCAGTCTGATGGTCAGAGACTCTGCAGGATGCTCAGCGCTACATATAGCGTCTCACAGCGGACACACAGAGCTGGTCAGCTTCATCCTGCAACAGGGTGAGGATGTGCATGATGCAGTGAAGTGTGACACATGATTTTTAAGCTGCTTTTTGGGGTATTTCAGATATAAAGATCGTGTTTAATACTCTAAACAAAGAGCCATTACAGCCTCACAAATGTTGTTATTTAAGTCTGTTTCCCGGTGTAAGGGAGTCCTACTGCATATGTAACAAAGTCATATAAAGGCTTTAATATCCCCAGAGAGAGCTGTATAACGTCCCCAAGTAAGGCCACTACATTTAAAACTATAAGTAGAAATAACAAAAACAAAACCTGAAGATGTGACGTTCGAAAAATGTATCTCTGTAGCCCGCTCCCCATCTTTACTATATCTTTAAAGCTCATTGCTACATTAGACACTCCTATTTAGACACATCTGAATCTCCAACCAAACTGTTGGACGTCAAGTGGCATTGTGGGTAATGTAGGCCAAGACGAATGTTTGCCATTAAAGAGACCTGATGTGATTCTGCTGCGTCCATGTTCATACTTGTCTGCCCTTCATGAGTTTGACATTGTTCTAGGAATATTACTTTAAGATGGATAAAGGTGTATTTATTTAATACAGTAAATGATCATTGTCATCAAAGCTGCTCCTGCTTCTTCCTCTTCAGGCTCTAAGGTGCTTCTGGATTTGACGGACAGAGAAAAGTATGTAACCTATTTATAAAAAAAATGTTTACTTAAGGATTCATTCTGTTAGAGTATTTTTTTATTTAGCCTTTATTTATACAGGTGTAGATCTCATTGAGACACAAGGTCTCATTTTCAAGAGAGACCTGTTTGTTTTAACTTATAACTGTTAAAAAACCACATACCCTTCTAGTGTGAGACGTTTCATGCCTCAATCCTGTTTTATCTGCTTTCTGTTTGACGTCAGTGTGGTCTTCACCTGATAAAAACAACCACAATGACGTGTGTGACATTTTGAGTATCACAACTTACCTGTGTGTGTGTGTGTGTGTGTGTGTGTGTGTGTGTGTGTGTGTGTGTGTGTGTGTGTGTGTGTGTGTGTGTGTGTGCACGCAGAGGAGACACTGCCTTGCACAAAGCAGCCTCAGAGAAGCATCATGCTGTGTGCAGACTGCTGGTGCAGGCTGGGGCGTCGCTTGAGAAGACCAACTTCCAGGTGAACTCACTCACACACACACACACACACACACACACACACACACACACACACACCACACGTAAGTCCGGCTGAGTCGTGTCAGGGAGGAGAGCAGCAGGACATGTACAGTGGGGCAAAAAAGTATTTAGTCAGCCACCAATTGTGCAAGTTCTCCCACTTAAAAATATGAGAGAGGCCTGTAATTTTCATCCTAGGTATACCTCAACTATGAGAGACAGAATGAGAAAATAAAATCACATTGTCTGATTTTTAAAGAATTTATTTGCAAATGATGGTGTAAAATAAGTATTTGGTCAATAACAAAAGTTCATCTCAATACTTTGTTATATACCCTTTGTTGGCAATGACAGAAGTCAAACCTTTTCTGTAAGTCTTCACAAGGTTTTCACACACTGTTGCTGGTATTTTGACCCATTCCTCCATGCAGATCTCCTCTAGAGCAGTGATGTTTTGGGGCTGTCGCTGGGCTGAGACTGCCAAGGCACACNGAGCTTGAACCAGAGTTGCGTTGGTGTGAATGAGGTAATAGTCCAACCAAAGTAGGTCTAGCCTTTTGCCCTTTCAGTCAAAAATCACAAGACAAAGATACAATGGATAAGATCTCAAGACAGTGTGTGGCTCAAGAAGACCTAGGTAATATCAATCAAAACCTCAGAACAGCACCCCACTTAATGCCAACATATGACTGGCTGGCTGTACAAGTACCCAAGAAGTTATATTTGTCACAAACATCGAGAGTTACAAAAGTAAAATATGTAGTGAAATTGTGTGGTTGCTCAAGGGTGGGGCTGTGATTCGGCTATACACCGCCGCCGCATAGTAATAAAGTTGAGCGCATACATAGTGAGACCTACAGTACAGAGACCTACAGTAATTTGACCCTATGGAAAAGCTGTGTTATTTATGGCGAAGTGTGAGTGTCATTTAAAAGAATGTATGATGAGTGAGGTTGTGCCCGAAAAAAGTAAAAAAAAGATTTTTTTTCTTTTTTTTTTAATCTTGTCACTGAGGGCCCTCTTTGCTCAAGGGCCCCTGGGCACTTGCCCAGGTTGCCCATATGGTTAATCCGGCCTTGGCTATTAGCTTAAAACTCGTCAGGCACTAGCAGAGCCATATGGCGCTGGGCACTAGGAAGGATCCCTTCTTCTTCAGGGCAGGGCAGGGTACGCAGTACGCAGGGTACTGTCCCGCAGAGGCTGCCTCTCTGGTGGACTCCGGTACTGCACATTACTCCCGAGACGTTTAAAAAAAAAAGAAAGAAAAAAAGTATCATTTTTAAAAACAAATGTTTTAAGTGAAACATCCGGGGCTTTTCAGAAAACATCCGGGGCTTGAGCCCAAGTAGCCACCCCCTAGCGCCGCCACTGCAGTGTCTCTCACGTCATTGTATGTTTTGTGTATTATTTGTTGAATATGTTTAATTTTTTCTGTTCCTTCGGATGGATGGGTTAATCAATGAAAAAAGGCCAATAAAAAGTAGTTTTTAGAAATATAAAAGTATGAAAGTTAAAAATACAAATAACTGTATGGCAAGCAGTTTATAATGCAAAACAGGATATAGGTCATTGTTATATCCACAAAAACAAGGTCAGGAATTGGGATCACATAGGTAATTATGAACCTGATGGATTTGCTCTACCTTGGTTTATCCCATAGCCTTATTCATTTTCTATTTATAATATGTATTTTCGTGATTTCATTCCTTTATTTCACTATTCAAAAAAATCGAATTCTATTTAATTACATTCTCTTTTGGATACTTTTATTTGCCTGTGCTTTTACTGTATGTGCCTTTCATTGCAGTGCTCAGTCCTAAGTCACAATAGAGCCACTAATGGCACCTATTGAGTGGGAAAGTGACTTGGAACATATTTTGAAAAATAGAGGTAAGATGAAACAGTGATGCTCAAAGAAAGTAAAGATAATGTGAAAGTTCTCTCCTCGCTGCGCGTCTCTGCTGTGCACTCAGCAGTGAGTAGCCTACAGCTGGTGATGCCTGTGGTCCCTGCAAATATGCTCTGCGCTCGGAGCTGACTGGCTGGAGCAGGATGAGCGCTTTCCACTCTAATTGATTCCTTTGTTTTTGTCTGTTAACACCGAGCATATGTGGATTTATAGTTTTTAAGTTTGAATATGACCGAACACGGGACCAGGCAATGAATAACACAACCGGCTTGGCATTAGCAGATGGTAGCCGGAAGGATTTACCGGCGCTCCGAGCTTTGACCGGGTCCCTCCTGGCGCTGCTTATAATTTGGACGCTTTTCGGCAATTTAACGGTGTGCGCAGCCGTTTGTCGCTTCCGCCACCTGCGCGCCAAGGTAACCAACATCTTCATCGTGTCCCTGGCTCTATCGGACCTCCTAGTCGCCGTGCTGGTGATGCCATGGAAAGCAGTGGCTGAGGTGGCTGGTTTCTGGCCGTTTGGAGGGTTCTGTAAGCCCTGGCTGGCCTGCGACATCATGTGCTCCACGGCCTCCATCCTCAACCTGTGCCTCATTAGCGTGGACCGATACTGGGCCATCTCCAGCCCTTTCCTTTACGAGAGGCGCATGAACAAGATGCTGGCCTCTGTGATGATCGGAGTGACCTGGACTGTGTCAGTGATAATCTCCTTTGTCCCCGTGCAGCTGGACTGGCACCGTACGGAGATAGGTGATCCGGCTGGGGAGGCTTTTGTCCTTAACGCTGAGGGTGTTGATGGGAGATGTGACTCCAGCCTGAGCCGGACTTACGCCATCTCCTCCTCCCTCATCAGCTTCTACATCCCCGTGTTTATCATGATTGTCACATACACGCGCATCTATCGGATAGCCCAGCAGCAGATCCGGATTATTTCCTCCCTAGAGCGTGCAGCGGAGCACGCGCAGAGTTGTCACTTGGACGTACCCGAACTTTGTTCTCACCTGTACACTGAAGTCGGTGCCAACTCATATCAGTCTCCTATAAATCACAATCCTGATGCTCAGCCCCCTAATCGGTCTCACCGGGAGCTCAAAGTCTCCATCAGAAAAGAGACGAAAGTTCTCAAAACTCTCAGCATCATCATGGGGGTTTTTGTTTGCTGCTGGTTACCGTTTTTTATCCTGAACTGCGCTCTGCCCTTCTGTCCCGGACCAGAGGAGCCTGTGGCGCTGCGGGGCCCTTACTGCGTCAGTGAGAAAACCTTCGACGTCTTCGTGTGGATCGGCTGGAGCAATTCGTCTCTTAACCCGGTCATCTATGCCTTTAACGCGGACTTCAGAGACGCCTTTTTTCGCCTGTTGCGCCTCCGCGGACAAGGCTGCTGCTCCACGATGAGCGCGGCGGTGGAGACGGTGATGGCGAGCAACGAGGCCGGACACCTGAAGCCGGAGAGCCCGCTGAACATGAACCAGGAAGTCTATGCCGTGAAGACCAGGGGCAGCGAGGACAGTGGGAACACAACGGTGACCCTGTTATATCTCAGAGGAACCACCTCTGAGCAGGTGATGGACACTGAAGAAAGTAAAGACAACCACAGACTGACGCATATACCGATATAAATTAAATGAGCGGGGTCAGGGAGCAGGAACAATATGCAAAGAAGGGAGATAGTGTGAACATCCAACCCCTGCTGAAGTAGATAAGAGGCATTGAGCAAAGTACATTTACTCCAGGTCATCCAAACAAACATCCATGTGAATACAAATAAACTAAACAAAATTGTTTCATAATTATTTATTTTTTCAAATCCCCCATTATCCACAATTTTACCATGCAGAAACAGGTGATGTATGAGTAACCTCCTTTTGTCCGATATAGCAAAGCTTAGTTCACATGGAGGATGTTTACCCAACAGGCTTTGTAAAATGCATTAACACATTTGTGAGCTTGCAACAATTCAGTGTTACATTTCATTTCAGCGGAAGGACTGCTTCACATTTACCTCAGCACAACAAACAGACGGGTTCCGATCTGGGTAAATAAAACAAGGCCATACACACATTTAAGAGACAATTTAAAAATAATTTTAAACTTAAACCATTTGAAATAGGTCACCCATTTTGTTGGAAAAGCACTCCAGCTTGACCAGTGAAGATGGTTATTGTTGCATTGTGGCTTCCATTCAAGGCCTTTCCCCACCGTGTAAAGAAAGCTTTCAGAGGTCAGGATTTCTCTGAATCTGTAGAAGTGGGATTATGTAACGGACTCACATTTGCAACCATCAGCTGTGCATCTTGTATGGATGCTGTGCACTCTGTTTCCCCCCTCTCCCCTGAAAGAAACAAACATGAATAATTTGTAAAGGTTGTTCCTGTGAAAAATTGCACAACCAGGGAGAACACAGAAGCTTTTACACTGATGACCATGCTGTGTGATGAACTCTCTGCAGATTAACATCTGTTCATTTTTGTTTAATGAGATTTCCTTGTTAGGGCTGAAAGTGTTAGGATTCAGCATCAATGATTCACATGTGTTAATGGAGCCGAGGGAACTATGATTCTATTTTGAGCTGCAAATATGTTGTTGGTTTAAATGAAATCACTTTCATGTCCGTCCGTTAAATATGATGTAAGCAAGCTCTGGTTAGTTTATGGTTTAACACAAATACTTTTTTTCTTTAATGAGTACAATTACCTAAGTATAATAATAATAATGCATTTTATTTATATAGCGCTTTTCACAACTCAAAGACGCTTAAGTATAGTTTTACAGGGACTCACTGTAATAAACTTGGCCAGTTATCAGGACACCAACAGAGTTAACATTACTCCAGTCCCAACTAAGAAATATTAAAACACACTTCTGAGTTTCAGAGCTACTGCAAAGTGTTTTGATTTCCTGTTCCCTTTGGACAGAGCGGGGATAGCTTTTCCCCCTAAGCTCAACTGGCTCCATTATTTAACATCAAGCATTACAAATCTTCTACTCTTTTCAAGTGATAGAATAACCATATTTCCCAAAAATATCAAACTATCACTTTAAAGTACAGCACATATTATGGATCAGTCTTACTTCTAAATATCACTGCAAGTTATCACATGTATTATCTCTTGCATGCACCTGGGATAACATGTTTGTGTTTATGACTACACAGGACTGAGAAAACAAAGAGAAGGTATACACTGTATTACTATTTGCAGAGGGTTGTGAAGCCTTTAGGTATTCGGGTTGTAATGGGCTTTTAACCTACATAGGACATCCAACAGCTGTAGGCGCCTCCATCTGTATTTAAGAATAGGTACCATATACTCAAGAGGATTAATAGGTCAAATACTTTTTTTTAAAAGTGTGTCTCAGGGTTACAGTTCAACAAGAGTTACTGAGTGAACAAGTCAATACAGGTGTGACTGAAGTGCAGTTCAGAGAGATGTGAGACGTTTCTCTAAAGAATGTAAAGGTGATTATATAATCAAGATGGACTCTCTTATGGCTCTCCTTGTTTCATTTATCCTCCATAGCATTATTATCTCACCCAAACAGGAGCTCACTTCATCAAGGGGGGCTGTGTGTGTTCACTTAGAGCAACTTTTAATGGATCACACCTGACCACCTTGAATGAGCCCTCAAGGCTGCAGGCAGGCCAGAGAGAAGAGAGAGAAAGAAAGAAAGACTACTTTACGTTTCATCCTGCAAAGGTATAGTAACTATTGCTCTGAGGCCTCTCCATATGGGTTTTCAAAACAACAGTTTCTGAACGCTTTACTCGTCCCATTTTAACAAGACTTTGTAACCAGAACTGTGTAACATAAAAACTATTCTAGACTCTCCGTCGAAGAAACCATCAGTCCAGTCAGCAAATACCCAAAAAACAACAGATTTACATTCAAGTGACAAAGCCCGGGAAGCAACTGTAGGAATATTGTGATTTTGTCTGAAGCAGTTATAGAGCCATTACATTTACAGTGGGAGGAGGATTGGGTGATTGGAAGGGTTAGCTCAACGAAACGTTAACATTTTGTGGCCGTTCCTTAAACCATGGTAAAGAAGTTATTTTTAACCGAACCGCGTATTGTTAATGTGCCTGAACCTAACTGAACCTGACATCCTGCTGATATTTGCGACAGATCAGGAAGTGCTTGTACCCATTGCTCACAAGGAAGATTGACCAATGACATAGTAAAGAGTAGGATTGTTTTTTATTGGTTTAATGCTTGGATAGGCTTGAAAAGTGTCAAAGAACGGTCATGTTTTGGGTTAAAATAACTATATGATGATGTAAAAATGTATCTTAAAAAAAGGAACTAATGAGGATTATCGAGCAAAATGCTTTGACTACCCACTCTTACACCCATTCATAGCTGTGTGAAAATATTTTTTTTTTAGCATTACTAAAAATGAATGATGCACTTCATTTCAGAGAAGACCAGTCCCAGAAATTGAACTATGTTACATTTTCCTGTGTCTTGTGTTTACATCAGTAACTATTTGTACCTCTAGACTTCTAAAAAAAAACCTGTTAGAGGATCAAACCATTCAAATTACACTTTTATTCCACAAAGCCGTTTGTACGCCTAAACTGATAAAATCAGACGTTAAGATTTTGAAAGCACTGACCTTTTAAAATAAAAGTATAACATAAAACAAATAATATAAATATTTTGTCGAATAAAACCTCTATATGTTGTGTATTTTGACTGATGTATTTGCTATGACATCTCACATACTGCCTTTTTTCCCTATGATCCAGTTTAGGAAGTCTTTTTGTCAAAAATATCTATAATCTCCATCAGTCTCTTTGGGGACATGGGAATAGGTCTTTGCTTTGTATTAAGCAGTAATCCTGGTCCCTAATACAGGGAGAGGTCCCTGGTGTCTGCGAGATTACTGACATATAAAGAACACATTTGTACAATCATGTCTTTGAGCTCAATACATTTTTTTATAAGAGTTACTTTATATGTTTTACACAAATCAGAACATGTTAAAGAATTGAACACCGCACATGTTTGTTAATGTTATATTTAGTGTATGAATTCAATTCAATGAATTTCAATTACTCTGGCAGAAAAGTTAACTGTCGTTCATAAGCGTAGTTACACTCTCAGATCCCTCCGATAGGTTGATTGTTCATTTACAATTCTCTCACTGTTACAAGGAAATGTTTAAAGTTGTGAACTACGACAATGGGCACCTAAAGCGTTAAAGTTCTAGGAAATAAAGACGGGATGACTTAACCAAATTATTCTCTCTTTTTTGTAAAAGGTGATCTTTCAACTTGGACGTCTACATTAAAAGTAGCTGATTTTTTGATCTGATTTTGCAAAACTCAAAGCAGCGATTTTGATCTTGGATTTTGATACTTACCTATACCTTACTGATTTTACCCTGATTTTGATTATGTTTGGTGAAACTGAAATTCTGATTGAGTTTTTATTCGACGGTTTAATTGTGACCGAGCGATGTCCCACATGAACTACCAAAGAAACTTGAGACGTCTGGCAAATGTACGTACTTTTGCCGAACTATTCGTGTGTTCCCCTCGGTCCATTATTGGTCTTTGTCGGTACTGTCGTCCTGGAAATTTTCCTTTAAAAATGCTTATTAGTCACCTTAACTCCTTTTGAGCCCGGGACCTGAGCGTACAGTAAGACCGGCCGTCAATGGAGGGTTTAGATAGTCATTAATATAACATTATGAAATTCACTTCTTCGTTGCGTAGAATATAACAATACTACTTATCCCAACAATATTTTTACACGATCAAAATAAATAAGTTTGTGTCCGGTGTGTCGTGTCGTCCGTGTGTGTGTGTGTGTGTGTGTGTGGTGTGTGTGTTGGTGTGATGTAGAGAGGAAAGCGAGGAGGAATCACAACAGACCAATCGATTACAGT